ATAATGCGAAAGCGACATTTATTCAAATGTGGCGGTTCTTGTGACTGTTGCAACCGTCAGTATGAACACTGGTGACTATGAATTGAGTTGTGGTGTACTGTCAATATGGGTAGACTTGTCTAATTTTTTGGATTTTGTTGAACCGTTTCGGAAGAAAGGCTTATTGTAAGGTGATCTGCTGTCAGCATTAAGTACTTATTGGTTCGCGTTCTATCAGATGTTTCACCCGCAATAGTTTAAAAATATATGTTTCGACTAGACAATCAGCTTTTGGTAGGATCAGCGGCGCTCACCACTGATTGAGGTAATGTCCCGACTCAGAGGACTTCAATATGAACTATTCAACATGAAGATGGGTAAATACTTTCTGTGCCTGCATTATATATGAATGTGTGTGATCATAGGTGTAATGATTATATGCAGTGAGCGTCCAAATTCCAGCGGGGGGTGTAATGCTCTCGTTCGAGTGTAACCTATACATAAGATTTATTCTTATGGTGCCATTTATTCTCATCACACCTATTGCCTCTATCTTTCTGTCCTTTACATTTTCGTTATATTTCACTTGTATTAGTAGTGACTCTTCTGTTACAAACTTGGTATCGAGTTAGCATTCNACCTATACATAAGATTTATTCTTATGGTGCCATTTATTCTCATCACACCTATTGCCTCTATCTTTCTGTCCTTTACATTTGTCTTTATCTATCCTTCTTCTTCGTTCTCTTAAATGGTTGAGTATTCAAGCGTGTGCTTTATATGTAATCGAGGCGATTTATGATTTGAAGAGTTAAATAAAGTGTAATACCATCAACACATGTATCTCTTCTATCAAAAATCGTCACAATAAGGTTTTGATGATGCTCAAGAAATCAGCGGTTGAATATATGTCTCGGGATGCGGTTGATTTGGTAGACAAAGTTGATTTATTTTGAAGAGTTCGGAAAAGACTAGGGAAATATTTGCTTTATGAAAATTGGTATTGGTAAGGAGCTTCTCCGAAGTCGTTTCCGGCAAAGATATGTGTATTCAGATTAAGTTGAGTTTTTTTCCCGTGTAAAAAGCATTTCATCATGGGAATTTCTCAAACACGTCGTTGAGACAATTATCCGACAGGAATACTTCGACTAGAATCGGAATCTTTATCTTATGAGACCGCCTTTAATGAGTAGATCAGAATCTCATTCGGCTCAGTGACCCGTTGCTGCTGTAGCGTCAACTTGATTAATTCGAAAGTTTAGCCAGTTTTCTAGCAAGCGTCTCAACTACAGTCTTATTTTTAACGGCAACAACTTTAGGGGGAAAAAAGCAAGTGGTAATAAAATAGGAATGCTAACTCGATACCAAGTTTGTAACAGAAGAGTCACTACTAATACAAGTGAAATATAACGAAAATGTTTTTTTTCCATCTTCAGATGACAAGGCTGTTTTTTACAACAAATCGCAAGTGATCTTCAGCGGTGTCTTTTTCTTCCAAGATATAAGTTCTTTCAAGTTACAGTTGTAAGCCGTACGGCTGAATAACCGTCACCACCGAAATCTGAATGCGAAGATTTCGTTTTTATCTATACGTTCATTTATTTTTGAATTGCGAAATTTCTTCCCAACCTTTTCCGTTATTCACAAGTAACGCTCGTCGCAAGACTCGCTTGACCCTCAACTGGATATGCAGCGATTTATGTTTAGCTAAGTATATTATACAGTCTTATATAACACTAAATGACGTTAGTATTTGGTCCTTGAAAACGATTTTTACGCTCCCGCCTGTTAAAACAGACTCAGGTATACCTCCAATAAGAACATACATGACAGTATATTACGTGTACCATGAGTTTATCTAGAGACAGATTTAGTCAAATACCAATACTAAAATTAACTTTCGCCTATTTAAATTAAGCAAATAGTACGCAATTGCACAGGAACACATAAATTTCAAATTCCAAAACTCATTTTACTTGATTCAAATTTTGTTTAAACTCGGGTTATTCTGAATTATTACGTCAGTGAAGATCATTAGACAGCAGCTAGTTGTTCGTCGGCACCCCTCTGGGGCGCCACTCACGACTGGCTACTGCCATACTCAAGTCGAATTCAAATAATGGCCATATCTTTTCACTTATACCCTAGTTCATTCCAACATCCACTAATAAAAAGCGTACTCAAATTTAAGATTGAATGTTACTGCATAGTTAGGGATGTGCACTTTCAGTTTACTGATGACTGCCAGCACCGATATACTGAGCACTGAGAACTGACTACACTGCACTGACAACACTGTCACTCGGTCTAAACTGACACCGAAAACACTGATGCACTGCTACTCACTGAGACACAGGCCTTNTAGATCGATCATAAGCAATGCATCATACTCTTATCTTCGTAGAAGAATTAATGTGATTTCACGAATAATAAACCCTGTCGTAATGGAAGATATTTATATTCAACGAAGCATGAAGAAAAAGAAATCCAGCACTTTCTCCTATCTTTTCCGACTACGTGATACGATGCACCGAACGAATCGGTCGATAGAAGAAAGAAAGAAACAATCAGCTACTTTGTTTTCTCTTCTCTTCAATAACTGCGTAACATTATTTATCGAAAGCATAGATGGGAAAGACGATGCTGACGGTTATAAAATTCACTTTTTCGTTAAATCAATAAAAGTTAAATGGTACGAGTGAAATTATGAGCGATCAGAAGTATAGAGAGCGTAAGCGATAAAACAACAAAAGATAGAAAAGACTTGCAAAAGCATGACGTATCTTTGATCGAGATAGAAAAAAGACATCACCCTTATTCGCTAAATAAAGGTCACCTTGAATAAAATTAGATATACGAAAAAAGAGAAGAGATCACATTGAAATGCTTTTATTCAATCAAAATTTTATGTGGATTCATATTTTCCAATCGGAAGATGTAATCATGTTCTGTATATAAAGTGTAGTTAATTGAAATCAGCATCGGTGCATCAGTGCTTCACTGAACACCGATATCAGTGTAGTCAGTGGTCAGTGAAGGCCTGTGTCTCAGTGAGTAGCAATGCATCAGTGTTTTCGGTGTCAGTTTAGACCGAGTGACAGTGTTGTCAGTGCAGTGTAGTCAGTTCTCAGTGCTCAGTATATCGGCGCTGGCAGTCATCAGTATTTCAGTAGTTACACTGAAACTGCACATCCCTATGCGTAGTATATACAGAATCAATTATTTCCTCGTGAGCGTTTCCTTCCGATTCAAGTTTCGGAGTCACTCAGAACTGCTAAAGTTACGTTTTAGTTATCACGATATGAGATTTTCATTTCAAAAATCTAATCACGGATTTGAATTCCTCACACCCGATTACCTATGGGCAAACTTTATAAATGTCTTGACCTCGATTACCTTCAGTCAAACTTTACATGGAATCATTTTTTCCCTAAAGCGTCTTCCTGTATTCGGGAAAATCTAACACTCAAAAATCTAAATTTAAAAAGTTGTATCATTGATTCGGATTCCTCGATATCGTTAGTCTCTAACGAAAGTTCATCAAAACACCGAAAAACGTTAAAATGTGCTCACATTTCATAGATTTTAATTTGACCTGCCATAAACAGACACACACAGACAACCGCATTTTTATCATATGACCCTTCCTACAGTCGAGGGAATAGGAGAGTTCACTCGAAACGCCCGAAAGTTCGTTTTTGATTCGCCGGCTTTCGACCAATGAAACCTCGGCTGCAGAAATGGGCTTCGGATTCGGAGTGACGGATATCACTAACCTATGGCAAAGTTCAATGAAAACGGCCGAAAGACTTTAAATGAAAAAGCGCATTTCTGATTGACCACTTCCCGACCAATCAAACCTTGGCCAAAGAACTTGGCTTCGGATACGAATTCAGGGTCCTCGGTAACCTATAGCAAAGTTCGATCAAAAACGGCCCAATGCGTTAAATTAAGAAAGTGGATTTCTGATTGGTCGGTTCCGGACCAATGAAACCTCGGCCAAAAAAATGGGCTTCTGATTCGGATTCAGGGCCATCGATAACCTATAGAAAAGTTCGAGCATAACGAGCAAAAGTCTTAAAATAGGCTAACCTCCCTTGGATGTTTTTTTTGACCTCAAGCAAACACACAAACAAACGCATTTTAGTTTTTTTCATATGGCCCTCCCTTCAGTCGAGGGAACGTTATTTACATCTAAGAAACATTAACAACATGAATCTTTAACAATAGAAATGTAAAGCACTTTTATTAATGTTGGCGGTTTCAGTTTGATGTGTATCAGAATCTATTACCCGATACAACGAGTTTGCATCATTTTCATAAAAGTCGTTTTACTCTAATAAAGCCCCTACACTTACTGAAACGATAATCGAACGTTTGTTTGCTGTCTGTGTCACATTTTAAAAAGAGCGAATGAAATATTATAGATTATATACGAGTTTCTTTTAAAGTTTGTATCGATAATTGAAATTCTGAAATGAATGATAATTCATCTTCACGCTAGAAACACGTAGCGTTTACAGTGCTACATGAGGCACCGGCAATATGATGAACCCATTATTAGCAATACCTGATGCGATAGAAACTCAGGAAACTAAAGCAACAAATCATAGTAGACACTCTCCTCTCTTCTTCAAGTCAATATAGAACAGAAGCTGCAGCATTAAAATATAGAGATAGTCTTTCACGCTATATCATTAAAAATTAAGGCGGGCAAATTTTCTGCCATCTTGATATACATAAATTAAATCTGTACTTCCTTCAAATTACTAGGTCTCTTAATTTCTGGCAAAGCTAAGTAACAATTCATTACTCCTTTTCATATTGCCTACATATGCGTCTTGATTAGCCAAACGTTCGAAGTATCATTTTTTTTATTTGGAGTTTTAAAATTCTTAGTAATCAGATATTTCAAAAACCAGACATTTTTTATTATCTAAAAAATTATTCAATTTCCAAATTTTCAGCCGCCGTCGAAGATTTGAAAAAAGTTTTGATTCTTTTCCCATCGCGGATCGGCCTTATATGGTTACATCTCTATTTTCACAAGTTGAAACTGTAAGGGGAGGTGTGATCGCCGGTTGTGAACAGAATGAAAAGTCAGAAGTTTCACTTTTAATACTGCCAAATGTTGATGTTTGAACAGTGGGTGCAGCAAATGAAAATAACGATGTTGTTGTTGTTGTTGTTGTTGCTGTTTTTGTTGCCAAGACTGAACCGAAGAGTGCAAGTGCAACTGTGCCATGCGTTGGAGCTCCAAAGCCAAATATTGGAAGCGATATGGTTGTTGTTGATGTAGTAGGGCTGAAAAGCGTAGGTTTTGGATTTCTCAGCGAAGAGCATCCGAATCCGCCGTCAAAAGGTGATAATGGAGCTTGTGCAGCATGTGGTCTTCCATTGGTCTTCGTATTTGCATGATCATTTACATCTGAACTCGGATTTTGACATATCAAGTGATCTCGTTCATAAACAAAAACACGAAGAAATCTCACTACTGGGTTTAACTCGAATTAGTAGTGATTTATTCAAATTGAACTTGGACGACACTTTCAAGAGATCCCGTCCAGAAATTTGAGCATCGATGCAGACGAAATATTTTTGAAACAATACCATAGTTTTCTCAACATTAGTTAACTGTGCTTTGACGAGCTGAACTTGCTCGAACGTTGCATCATCATCTTGGATCTTCATGATCATCTCCAGATGTCGTTTTTTATGATCGACAAACTCTTCTTTATTCTGCTCAAGTACACTGTCTATCTCTTGACTTTTTTCAAAGTAAATGTAATCGACTAACTGATACATGTCAGCTTTCCATTGATCAAGCTGAACTCTAGGCGTTTCGGCGAGAGGATCGATCTGCGCTCGTACTGCCTCGACGTGTTCAGTAAAATGTCGCGTGCAAACATTTTTGTTACAGCAATAACAGCGTGTAGAGACTGCACGAGTACACCCTTCGAGTTGGCAACATTGTTTTACGTCAGGCATTTTTTTATGCTATAACATTAAAAAAGTTCATAAAAAACAACGCTATCCTTGTGTTTAAACTCATTATTTTGAACGAGTTTACACTTGTTTTTAATAACGTATCTTTTACCTAAGAAAGATCATGCAGGTTAAAAATATAAATAAAGATTTATTTTTAGTCAACCAACCAAGGGGGAAACGGCGGATTCCCAGGATTCCCATGGGATTCGGAATCCTGGGAATCCCGTGGAAATCCGATATACGTCCTAGAAATAACTAATGTAGACGTCTCAAAAACACTTAAAATATAACTTTTGCCAGCACATAACAAAGTCATTTCATTCATTTAATATTTAGAAACCCATTCCTTTGAGAGAGCCATGCAGTGGTTTGGAAAATAAGCGTGTGGATGTGAATGCTTCGTGGGGATGGAAAAAAAACGTTGATCCTCACCCTCATCAATATCGTAAACTGAACATTCTGAGCTATAGAAGGTACTGCTTTCTAACGAAATAATGTGACTCAAATCCTGACATCTAGTATGATTATTTATACAGTTCTATTAGGTGAGAATCCCAAACGCTTTGCACAATGGCGCTCATATTGGTTCATAGAAGGGTGAATCGGACCACAACTTTAAATTCAACAGAGAATATGTAGTTACAATTGAATTAAGGAACTAGCTCCGAAGAGGAACTTGCGGTGTTTTCATTTTATCCAATACTTAGTAAGTCGTAGTTCTGCGGTCAACACTATTCTTCTAGACTGACCCAT